TTTCTAAAAAGGAAGGAGTTTAGAAAACGTAAGGCTGGATATGATTGATAGAGGAACTGTGGCTGTCTGTAAGGAGACAATGAGAACTGAGCTGCATGCAATGGGTTGGCAGAAAAGTCGAGGAATTCCATCACCGATTATGAAACCTGAACAAAAGGAGCGAAGGTTGAACTGGTGCTTACAGCATAGAAATTTTAACTGGGACAACGTGATTTTCTCAGATGAAAGTTCTGTGTGGCTGTTTCCTAATACACTGAAATTCTGGACCAAACGAATTGAAAAACCTTTGTATCAGCGCCAAAGTACAGTCCGAAATTTAACGAGTGGGGTGGCATATCTGTGTTAGGGGCAACGCTTCTCTGTGTATTTGAAGGGAATATGAACAGTGAGCGGTACAACGATATTCTCGAGGGACATTTACTTCCATCTGCTCACGTGTTCTATGGACATTTTTGGATTTTCCAGCAGGACAACGACCCAAAACATCGTTCAAAGCATTCACAGGCCTGGTTTCGGACCCAAAATATGACATTATTAGATTGGCCAAGCTGTAGCCCTGATCGAAATCCAATAGAAAATGTTTGGGGACTTATGAAGGAAAGTGTCAATAAGAAAAATCTGACAAATATTGCTGAAATGAAAGAAGAGGTGGTCCGATATTGGGACAGCATGGACCACGACTTTCTAACTTCTTTGATCAGTAGTATGCCCCACCGCATTGAAGCCTGCATTGCTGCCCATGGTGACTTGACAAAATTCTAACTGTTCACCTGTCTTTGAATCTGGAGTTATGTTCTGCTAATGTTCACATTTAAGACGTGGGTAATGAGTGAAAAAATATAAAAAATTACAATCTTTATATTCTCAATAATTTCTGGTTGTACTGTAAAATTGCACACGTGGCAAAGTGTTTTATAGTGTCATAAAGTACAATTCTGTTTCACTGAGTTTTTCAAGATCTACGCTGGGGCGGTTAGGTAGCCTAGTGTTTTTTAAAGCGTTGGCTCTTCACGCCGAAGATACAGGTTCGACTCCCCACGTGGGTACAATGTGTGAAACCCATTTCTGGTGTCCCCCACCGTGATATTGCTGGAATATTGCTAAAAGCGGTGTAAAGCCATACTCACTCACTCACTCCTTGTTTCATATTCATATCAACGTCTCTGTCATTTTCTAGGCCTCCGTGGTGTAGTGGTTAGAGCGTCCGCCTGAAGAGCGGAAGGTCGTGGGTTCAATCCCCGACCGCGTCATACCAAAAGACGTTAAAATATGGTACTTGTTGGTCCCTGCCTGGCACTCGACATTAATGGGTACAACAAAGACCGGTGGGCTCGGAGTCAGTATAATGTGTCTGAGCGGGGTATTCATGCTTCACTGCGGCATGGTATCTCAGTAGGCTAGAACTATAAAACCAATAATAGTCTGGGCTAGTACAAGCAGCCGCACATACACATACACATGCATGCACGTCGTCATATGAGCGAAATATTCTCAAGTACGACGTAAAACCCAATTTCACCTCACCTCACTTCTAGGCCTATTTTTCTGGTGTCCCCCGCCGTGATGTTGCTGGAATATTGCTAAAAGCGGCGTAAAACCAGACTCATTCAGTCAGTCAGTCTAGGCCTATTCGTTGGAGGTAAGGGAAATGACACGTGCAGCACCAAGAAAGCTGTGAAAAGGCGAGATCTGTGACAGCTCGTGCCAGTGTGACACAGGTGAGTTGTGGAAGATGAGATGTGTAGTGTAATCGAAGGTGGCTTGTGGAAATCCAGGTGTTATGTGGAAGCTGAGGAGAGTTGTAACAGAACAAGTGAGAGGAAATTCAAATGAGTTGGGATAGTACAGGTATGTTGTGGAAGAAGAGGTGAAGTAGTATACACAATGGGGCTACGGGACCCAAAACATTAAAAAATTGAGTCCCTAATCCCGTAGCCCCATTGTGTATACTACTACTGAGGTGCAATATTTAATGAAAATCGGTTGAATAGTTTCTGAATTATTGACTTTTAAGTGAGCATGGGGTCGGTCGGGAAAAGGCAAAATGTCCAACTTTTTGTCGTAATTAAGTCTTAATTAATCTAATGAAGTCATCGAGAGTGTTCCCAATGCCGTTTTGCTATAACGTAACCATCTACCGAGATGCATGCAAAATTTCACGAAAATCGGTCAAATAGTTGAGGAAATAATCACTTTTTAGTGAGCATGGGGTCGGTCTGGCGAAAGGCTAACAATCCAACGTATTGTCGTACTTGTTATATATTAGCGAGGCGAGAGGTGTTTTTAGCTGAATTAAAGGCAGGTCTCGGCAGTCATCACCTCGCTACCTTCTCGGGGGCTGCTTTGAGCGAGCGCCGTGGACGAGTATAAGTGTGTGTGCGCGTGTGTCTCTCGGCTGGGCTATGATGATGCACGGCCGGCTGACTAGCGAGGCTACATATGTCTGAAGGTGAATGAAACGCATCTCTCGGCAGTTTCCCCCTGGTCGTTGTCTCGCTATCACCGAGCGAGCGCTGTGGGCGAGTCGCAGTGTGTGTGTGTGTCTCGGCTCGGCTATTATTCACCATGTGCAGCTCGCTGTAGAGCTAGCTGGCCACATAGCATACCACAACCTAATAGCACATACAAATATTCATGAGAATTATCATACAGTGGGAGATCTAAAAGGGACTAGTGTGTCGTGAGGTACGATAATCAACACCTCTCTGACGAATGCTCTCGGCGGTCCGGCTTTCAAGTAGTACAAGTTCGGTTCACCGTCTTTGATGTCAACAAGGTCTACATTGTACGTTTTCATGGATGGGTAGCGCGCGTTATCTGTCGTCTCCCTCATATTCCTCCCGGCTGGTACAAGTACTAACGCTGACCCGGTTCGGTAATGTTTTCTCTGTTTTATAGCGACGTGCCACTGCCGACGACGATTCGACAGATTTCATTTTGATGGCTTCAACGGGTCTCTTGCCCAATAGTCTGGTGACTTCGTTGTTGATGGCATCCACCACTCGCGGTAAGCGTACGACCCATTCTGTGTTTCTGTTTTTGGGATCCATTAAATCCTGCGAGTACTGATGTGAGAACAGACGTTTGGCTAAGGTGCGATTGAATCTCTCGACAACCTAGTCAGAGATCATGATCATGACCACCCGATCCCGTTCGTCGCCTCCTACGACAAGCATGGGTTGCTGAAGACCAATTATTATTTTTTGTTTAAAAAAAAAGAAGATTTTATCGTTCTCTGAAGACCAACTGTAACCCTGACCTTCACTGGTCTGTGAACATTGCTTGGACAAATGATCAATAGCGGAGACAACGTATGATTGGTAAATGTATTGTTTGCAGGTCTGGCTTGCTATCGGCCAATGTCCGGTGTCTGCTGTCCAATGTCCACGTGTGTTGATGAGGCCTACGCCCAAAAACAGCACGAGAACTGGGCAAAGTGCTTCGCCAACCCAAAATGTGGTCTGCCTGCATAAACGCTACTATCCCAAAAATATCTGAAAATTTGAGATTTTAAACGTTTTTGTCTCTTCTGTCATATTTGACGTCAAGCATTTGCTGTGATGAATAAATGAATAAAACGTTTTACTTCATTATCAGTTTTATGTGGAGTTATTATGTGGAGGGACTTAGGGTAGCGTTGGTACAAGCGTTCGCTCGTCACACCGAAGACCCGGGTTCGATTCCCCATATGGATACAATGTGTGAAGCCCATTTCTGGTGTACCCCGACGTGATATTGCTGGAATACTGCGTCGTAAAACTAAACATTACTCAATTATTATGTAGGAGGACTTGGATATTAACTACGGACATTTGCAAACTGGATTTGACCAAACATTCCAAGTAATGTCAGAACTTTACTTGGCGAAAGCAGTCGCCAAACTACTACAAAGCTAATTCATCGAGCAATATGTTTTTGAGTTTTAGTATTTTCAATCGTGGGTGTATACTTTCATTTGCTGTACAGCGTAGTGTGTTAATATCCTGATCCATGAATGAAAGTATTTTGCAATTGTGTTCTGAGGTGAGGTGAGGTGAGGTGAGGTGTGCTTGAGTGAAATGTTGTTGAACCTATATCTTTGTTGGAGAGTGGCCATTGTGACGGAGTGGACATTGCTATAATGGCGTTAACCTTTATTTCACGGATTTGATAATGTCCTCAAATAAATAAATAAATAAATAAATAAATAAATAAATAAATAAATAAATAAATAAATAAATAAATAAATAAATAAATAAATAAATAAATAAATAAATAAATAAATAAATAAATATATAAATAAATAACAACTTATATTGAAACACATAGATACTAGTGTAGTACCGCCAGACGTATGGCGCCATAATGGTTTACAGTTATGACGTCACAATGCTGATACCTCTGTCACAATGGTATTAGACCTTGCTTGACTCGCGGAAAGCTGAGAGTTATCACACAGTAGGCAGTTTCTATCAATTTATTTTGGAGAGTAATAAACAGAATACTAAACGACTTTTGTGAAATACCATTTTTATCAAACTCGTGTAAGATTTAGTATCAGAATCGCTTTCGCACGTTTGATACCAAATCATCAACTAGTTTAATAAAACTGGTATTACACGAAAAGTCGTTTAGTATGCTCTATATACTGAAACACATAGATTTGGGTTTTCAAAGGATTGGTCGAATAACTTAGACTCACTCACTCGCCCACACTATCTGTGTTCATATATGGTTACGACACTGTCTGTAGTGGTAATCTGTGTCAGAAGATGACAAATCTACGATTAAACTTCGTACGAATGTGGCATTACCTCTGAAAACTGCTACAAAAACAAAATTGAATGTTTAATTTGGCTTTCCGCTGATCATTAGTGCCGGTGTTGATTCGACTGGTAACATACAGTGTAGTGGAAATATAGTACAAAGTACGACAACCCCATCTAACAGTTAAAACAAAGTCAAGCACCTTATTTGGATAACGATAAAGGTGGTATTGGTACTATCACAACCGGAAGTGACACCAACCAGGTGTGGCGTGAAGAATCACCTGTTTGTCATTACCAAGTAGTGTGAAAACCATGAAGACGGTTGTGACTCTCTGTGTCGTGTTGGTGAGTAGCTTTCTCTATTTATGGCACACATAAGCCATAGACACTGTAGTGCTTTAAAAAATTAAAAATACTCACCTGACAACCTTTGTGAATTTCAATTCTTTCTTTTTTAAAAAACAACAACTTTCATGTGACAACCTGTCTTGTATCGACACTCTTACTTGACAACCCGTTAGTATAATGACTTTCATATTTTACTCTGTGTGTTTCAGGTGCTCCTCTATCACGTCGAGGTAGAGTATTACATTTGAGAGTCAATCATCAACACATAAGGTAACGGGTAAAAGAAAGCGCACACTTGAAAATTGATCTGACCGAATAATTTCAAACGTTATTAAAAAATGTACTGGCTGAACACAGTCGCCGAAACACAGGGGCCTACAGGTTCAAAACACGGCAATGGTAATTGTTTCAAATATACCTCCATCCCAAACACTATTCTTACTTCATTCATTTTAAGCAACATAAAAAATGTGAGTATACGTTCTTTTGCTTGACAGTTTAGAGGGTATTGGGGTAGCCTAGTGGTTAAAGCGTTCGCTCGTCGCGCCGAAGACCCGGAATCGATTCCCCACATGGGTACAATGTGTGCAGCCCATTTCTGGTGTCCCCCGCTTGATATTTCTGGCATATTGCCAAATGCGGTGTTAAACTAAACTGACTCTCGTCAGTGGACGGTTTAGAGCACCAATCTATATATACTGACCTTGTGAAATAAAACTTGTTGCATAAACAATGGATCCATGATCCATAACGAAGAATTTGACGTTATCAGAAAAAGAATTATTTTGAAAGTTCAAACAAACTTAAATATAAAAATCACATTTGAAATGCAGAAAATCAAGTTTACGCTGAATATAAAGAAATGGAACATGTTTACACATGGACCATTGAGCAATGCGTTAGGCAAGAAAATTCGCCTTTCATAATACGTTTCAATGCACACTCATACAAACGTAAGGGATCATGAAATAAAAATGTTATGACCGGTAGAAAAAATAGCTTTGAAAAATGAATGCTATAGCCAGAAAGGGTTCGGAACCACATTGTACACAATTGCCCGTGCACATGGGTAAGTGGGTCGTTAGATAGATTTGAGCTTTTAGCATTGTTGATTTTCAGTTACCACAGTAAGCTCGTGTCAACAGTATTTGTATTCATTCATAGAACACAACCTGGGGATATATGCGTGTTTCAAACGTAGCTAAACCATTCAATGTTTCTCAGTCTGTGATTTGCAGACCCAGGAACAGGTTTCTGCAGAAACAAAATGTTAATGATCGGCCCTGCAGAGATTGCCCTAGATCAACAGCATGAGTTGAAGGATTGATAATCTAAAACATTCTTGAAGAGATGGAACCCAAATGGAACTCAAACCACTGCTCACTCGCCCTCGAAGTTCACGTTACTATTATTGACTGATTGAATGTTGTTTACGCCGCACCCAGCAACATTCCAGCTATATGGCGGCGGCCTGTAAATAATCGAGTCTGGACCAGACAATCCAGTGATCAAGACCATGAGCATCGATTTATACGGGATACCATAACATGTGTCAACCAGTTCAGCGAGCCTGACCACCCGATCCCGTTAGTCGCCTCTTACGACAAGCATGGGACAAGCATACTGAAGAACAATTCTAACCCGGATCTTCAGGGGTCTCAGAGGAATGGATAAGACTCAATCAAATTGTAGTGTAGAGATTAAGAAATGAAATCCTACCATTCCAAAGCATAAACGACTGTTTGACCAGTCGTGTAGGACTCACTCACTCACCCTTCTCTTACAACACTAGGGAGCAGCTCCTGGGACGCAGTGCACGAGTTCTCACGGCTGCGGCAGCTGCTGCAGAGACAGCACCGGCAGGGTCATTTCAACTGACCAGGGCAATGGACCATTTGGTGAGACCTGGAAACATAAACTGATAACACGAAATCTGAAGAAAGTACCATTCTCCGCGGTCTTGCGCGTCACAGAGTCAAACGTGGTTGTGTCGAAGTTACAGGAAACAATGTAAATATTTCGAAGTATATGAGGCTCGACACAACCGAAAAATGATGACTAAAGTACTGCCGGAAACAGAAAAATAAAACTCTGTTTTTTCGCATTTATATCTACAATTCATGTAGTTAAAATGTGAAAGTGTTAAATATCTGTTAAACTAAGTTCGCCCTAAGTACGGTTTCAGTGGTAGGGAGATAGGAAACGTAGAAAAAGGACTACTGAGGAGAGATTAGTGCAGAAATGTGCAATACAGCGATTGATTTGGAACACACCGTGGCTTTATGCAAATTAGTGTGCGATGATATTGTATTACAAAGGACACTTTTTAAATACCTAGGGTTAAATTAAACTTAGCTTCATTATAATCGTTAGTTGGCGTAAAAAAATAACTTTAATAGTGAAACTATTAAGGATGTAGCTACCATGGAGTCTCACTATCACTATAAAAAGAAACAGGTAGGAGGGGTTGTCTCAAAAGCAAAACCAGGACGGGTGTCGCAGACGGTGGTAGGGGTCGGGCTGGGGGATAGATATATCAGCTGAGATAGGATAATCCTTTAGGAGAATTAAACTACTGAAGCAAACGGCACGTCATAACAATTTACAAATAATATCCAGTCCTGTCGATCTTCGGGTGGTCATACCACCTATATATTTTGAGACATTTAATACAATGGTTGATTTAAGTTTTTCTATGGGTATCATACTCTCAACATATACTTTATGAAAGAAAGACACGTAAGATCATCAATAGATGAGACATATTCATCACACATGAAAAAGAATAAAATATCTTCGAGATGACCCCTTGTGCCTGTAGGCAGCACATGCATTTCATGCCAGGTGAGTCGACGGTCCGTCATCATACCTGGCTGAGTGACCTAATTGCCATCTTTAGTCTGATCTATTGTTTTCAGAGAGTATTCGTATTTTTCTAAGTTTTGCATCGATTTTACGCGTAAACATGCTTTTCTGGATATCTTATCACGCATCCAACTGGACGCCCAGTTAGGCCGATGAAGGTTATATCAACATGTGCTATTTGCAATTGTGCAAATTTAGGGATACAGAGTTACTTGAGTAGCAGGCTAAAAACAGTTTTTTCTATTTCCGACAGCACTTTAAGTGATTAAGTTCGACACGTGAAGTTCGATGGTGCTTGAGTTCCATATACATTTTCATATGATGACATAGTTTTACCAATAGCGTTGTCATTATCAGGCGGATTCGGTGGTTTTGGAACGCTTGGAGGTCAGCGTAATGGCACGTGCAGCACCAAGAAAGCTGTGAAGGGCGAGATCTGTGACAGCTCGTGCCAGTGTGACACAGGTAAGTTGTGAATGTACAGGTGAGATATTGAAGCTGAGATAATCTGTGGAAGTCAGGTGAAATATTGAAGCTAGATAAGCTGTAGAAGTACAGGTGAAACATGGAAGTAAAGATAAGTTCTGGAAGTACAGGTGAGATATTGAAGTTAAGATAAATTCTGGAAGTCAGGTGAGATATTGAAGTTAAGATAAGCTGTGGAAGTACAGGTGAAACATGGACGTTAGGATAAGCTGTTGACGTACAGGTGAAACATGGAAGTTAAGATAAGTTCTGGAAGTCAGGTGAGATATTGAAGTTAAGATAAGCTGTGGAAGTACAGGTGAAACATGGACGTTAAGATAAGTTCTGGAAGTCAGGTGAGATATTGAAGTTAAGATAGCTATGGAAGTACAGATGAAACATGGAAGTTAAGATAAATTCTAGAAGTCAGGTGAGATATTGAAGTTAAGATAAGCTGTGGAAGTACAGGTGAAACATGGACGTTAAGATAAGCTATGGAAGTACAGATGAAACATGGAAGTTAAGATAAATTCTGGAAGTCAGGTGAGATATTGAAGTTAGGATAAGCTGTGGAAGTACAGGTGAGATTTTGTTTGCGTGTTGTTCAACACCGCACGTTCATTATAGATACCTGCTCAATAAGCGGTTATACTTATATGCAAGCTTGGAGAGAAAGTTAATGCATTGTTTTGGAGTCCTTCTTTGTTTGGGAACTGAGGCTTTCGCAGGCTACTGAATATATTTAACATGCTTGGCAAAGTTGTTTACTGAACAAAGTATAGTGTTTTCACATAATGAATGATTGATGAAGCGATTTTCAGCTTTAGTTACAAATGATGTTATGGTTGGTCTGTTCTCATTGTCTTGGTGATCTGACACAGCTCCGTGACCCGACAAGACGGTGTTTCAGTGCATCTGATTGTGTATTGTTTATCGGCCTAGAGCCCGTGAAGATCCGGATTAGAATTGGTCTGCAGCAACCCATGCTTGTCGTAAGAGGCGACTAACGGAATTATGTGGTCAGGCTCGCTGACCTGGTTGACACCGGACATCGTATCCCAAATGCGTAGATCCATGACCATGTTTTTGATCACCGGCTTGTCTGGTCCATGTTATGTACAGACAGCTTTCAAGTAGCTTGAATATTGCTGAGTACGGCGTTAAACTGTAAACTTTGCGAGTTTCTTTGTCGTAAACGTGAAACGGTAATAAAACACTGCTTTGGGTTAAATGTAAATAATGCTCATCTGAAAGTAAAAGGGGTAGACGCGTGGTTAATGAATTCACCCACCCCCCCTCCGTTAAAGAATTGCCCCCCACCGCTGGAAACCCGGGTTCGATTCCCCACATGTGTAGAATGTGTGAAGCCTATTTCTGAAATATTGCAAAGTTGGCTTGCACCTGGTTCCACTTGTTATGTTGATGCAATGTTACTGACATTTGTTCGGCGATAGGCCAAAGAGAACAAATCTATGAAACCAAATTAAAGTCGATAAATGGTAAATGCTCCTGTGTTTAAAAATATATACAGTCAAAATAAGATATGAAATATATCAAGTTTGGCCAAGACGATCCTGTGATCAACAGCATGAGCATCAGTCTACGCAACGGGGATCCGATGATATGTGTCAACCGATTTTTCACGCGTACTGCTTAGTAATGGTCTCACCTGTGAACATTGCTTGAACATTTAATCAGTAGCGAAACAACGTATGATTGGTCTATGTATTGTTTGCAGGTCTGGCTTGCTATCGGCCATTGACCGGCGCCTGCTGTCCGCCCTCCACCTGTGTTGATGAAGCGTACGCTCAAAAACAGCACGCATATTGGGCCAGCTGCTTCGCCAACCCACAATGTGCTCTGCCCGCATAAACGATACCATAATATCGGAAAATATACATATGTATGCTTAGAAGAAAACTCATGTTACTTTTAGAAAAGTAAACCAGTCAGTTTGAGAGTCTACGTATTTGGGTCAACTCTGTCATATTTGATGCAAAGCATTTGCTGTGAAAACGAATAAAGCGTAAATGTGGAGTTATCCTGTTAATGAACTCAGAAAGATTAACAACGACAAAGGAACGCATACACCTGAGAACAGGATTAGACGGTGTTACGGTTTAGAAATTACCGTGACAAAGGTCTTGTGAGTCCCTTCTAAACCAGCAAAATAGAATACAGACAAGTCTGTGGTATTCAATAATGTATTGAATAGAAACAAATAAGGTTACCATGAATGACAGCATTCCTAATGCAATACAATTGGAGAAAATCGAAAATAATGGGTCACGAATCTAAAATATTCACCCACCAAAGTCTTCATATTTCTGGTAAACAGATGTACTGACTGAAGGTTGTTGAGGGCTTGACCGTGGAAAGATCAATGTAGACGAGCCTCGGTCTTGAAACGTCTATGTTAGCAGACATATGAGCATAAATCCAAAGCAGCAGCAGTCCCGCTATACAGCTCAACAACAATCCATCATATTATACCTACTACACAGTTCTCGAGATTTCTAGCAGTAGCCACGCCCCACTACGACCTTATAGAAATCACTGGAATGAATCCCACAGTCTTCCGCCGGATGCAATAAAAAAAAACCAAAACAGAGGAGGTAACTCTAACTGCTCAGCTTACTCTCTGAACAGGTAAAATTACATATCCAAGTTCAAGATGTAAGATCAAATACGCACTCAGCGCTTTAAACCTTTGTGACCCATAATAACTATATGTTAATTAATGTCACATTTTAATTAACAAGAACACATCCTCATAACGTCGACGTTATCAATAAGTCGACGAAATACTGCAAAAGAATCATGATATCCCAATCAAACAGGTCACTATGGATTAGTCATTCCTTGTGTTTGTTTCTACGAATGAGAACATTTTGTATTCTGGTGTGAGGAGAGGTGAGGTGAGGCGAGGCGAGGCGAGGCGAGGTTTGTGTATTTGTGTTTAATACATTAATGTCGGAGAGTGTTCATTTTGACAAAGTGGGCATTGCTTTAGTTCACGGATTTGATAATGTCATCAGCTTAATATTAAGTATGTGTAGCGAGAGTGAGTGAGTGAAATGACCTCTGAAGTTTAGCCATTACAAGAAAACAATGATTGAAACACTTTCCACTGTTTACTGGTGCTGGAGTTGATTTCACTCTTAACATACAGTGCAATGGAAATATAGTACAAGGTACGACAAGGCTATCCAACAATCAGCACAAGTCAAGCACCATATTTTGATAACGATAGAGGCGGTATTGGTACTATCACACCTGGCAGGTGTGGTGTGAAGAATCACCTGTTTGCCATTACCCAGTATTGTACAAACCATGAAGACGGTAGCGGCTCTCTGTGTCGTGTTGGTGAGTAGATTTCCCTCATTAAGGCGTTTATCACACAGACGCATAGACTTTGTGGTGCTATGAAAACCAACTGTATTTGGACACTCTCACTTGACAACCTGTCTGTATTTCGACACTTTCTCCGCAAAACCTAACTGTATTTGGACACTCTCACTTGACAACCTGTCTGTATTTCGACGCTTTGGACACTCTCACTTGACAACCTGTCTGTATTTCGACACTTTCTCCGCAAAACCTAACTGCATTTGGACACTCTCACTTGACAACCTGTCTGTATTTCGACACTTTCTCCGCAAAACCTAACTGTGTTTGGACACTCTCACTTGACAACCTGTCTGTATTTCGACACTTTCTCCGCAAAACCTAACTGCATTTGGACACTCTCACTTGACAACCTGTCTGTATTTCGACACTTTCTCCGCAAAACCTAACTGTATTGGGACTCTCACTTGACAACCTGTCTGTATTTCGACACTTTCTCCGCAAAACCTAACTGCATTTGGACACTCTCACTTGACAACCTGTCTGTATTTGGACACTTTCTCCGCAAAACCTAACTGTATTTGGACACTCTCACTTGACAACCTGTCTGTATTTCGACACTTTCTCCGCAAAACCTAACTGTATTTGGACACTCTCACTTGACAACCTGTCTGTATTTCGACACTTTCTCCGCACAATCTAATTGTATTTGAACACTCTCTCTTGACAACCTGTCTGTATTTTGACACTATCGCCTGACAACACGTCTATATTTCAACACTGTTCCTTACTGCGGAATGTTTTTGACCATTGTGTCGCGAGAAACAGGTGCGTGTACGTAACTGTGAACAGCAGTTTCGAATGTCCTCAAGTCTGTAGTCTAATATTATTTTCTACCGTATATTCCAGGTGCTCCTCTATCACGTCGAGGTAGAGTATTACTTTTTGAGTCAATCTTTGATGCATAAACTGACAAGCAAAAGAAAGTATAATGGAAAATTGATTTGACAGGAATTTAAAACATTAGCAAAACATTTCCTGGCCGAAAACAGTCGCCGAAACACGAAGTCGCAAACAAAAGGTTAAAACAGAACAGTGAGACTTGTTTAAAATACAAGACCATCCCAGACACATTTAATAATTCATTCATTTTAGTCAACATCAAATATGCGAGTAGACTTTCTTTTGCTTGACATTTTAGAGCACCAGTCTACATAAACTGATCCTTGAAATAAAACTATGGAATAAACTATATATCCATGATCCATGATGAAGAAATTGATGTTATCAGAAAACGAGTGAGTGATTGAGTGAGTTTAGTTTTAGCCCGGTTTTAGCAATATTCAAGCATTGTCATGGCAAGGTACTCCAGAAATGGGCTTCACGCATTGTTCCCATGTAGGGAATGGAACCCGGGTCTTCGGCGTAGGGAACCTGGAGAATATATGCGTGTTTCAAACTGAACGAGACGTAACTGAAACATTCAATGTTTCTCAGTCTGTGATTTGCAGATCGAGTAACAGGCTTCTGCAGACACAAAATGTTAAGATCGGCCCTGCACAGGGTGCCCTACAACAGTCGAGGATTGGCTAATGAAACAACAGGTTTCAAGAAATATAATCCAAACGACACCCAAAACACTGCTCACTTGCCGTAGGTCACAGAAGTTCAAATTACTGACAGATGTTCAGAAATACTTTGGGATACGTCAGTGGAACTGGGTCAGGCACTGTAAGAGGAATGGAAAAACAGCTCAATCAAATTATAAAGTAGAGATTAGGAATTTATTCTTACCATTTCAAAGCATAAACGAATGTTTGACCAGTCGTGTAGGACTCACTCACTCACCCTTCTCTTACAACACTAGGGAGCAGCTCCTGGGACGCAGTGCACGAGTTCTCACGGCTGCGGCAGCTGCTGCAGAGACAGCAACGGCAGGGTCATTTCAACTGACCAGGGCAATGGACCATTTGGTGAGACCTGGAAACATACTGATAACACGAAACCTGAAGAAAGTACCATTTTCCGCGGTCTTGCGAGTTACTTAGTCAAATATCGATGTGTCGAAGTTACGGGGAATAATGGAAATATTTCGAAGTATCCGACGTTTTGACAAAACCGAAAAATGATGACTAAAGAAGGAATACTCAGGGATCAAGTTATTAATTCGAGACACTGAGAATTCGACTTAGGAAAGTTCGACACAACGATGTTTGTATGTGTGTATACGCTATGAATATTGTTACTATGTATGAAAAAAAATCATTTGATAATATACCAATATCGTTGTCATTACCAGGCGGATTCGGTGGTTTTGGACCGCTTGGAGGTCAGCGTAATGGCACGTGCAGCACGAAGAAAGCTGTGAAAGGCGAGATCTGTGACAGCTCGTGCCTGTGTGACACAGGTGAGATATTGAAGTTGAGATAAGCTATGGAAGTACAGGTGAGACACAGAAGTTGAGATAAGTTGTTAAAGTCAGGTGAGATATTGCAGTTGGGATAAGCTGTGGAAGTACAGGCGAGATATGAAAGTTGAGACAAGCTGTGGAAGTACAGCCGAGATATGAAAGTTGAGACAAGCTGTGGAAGTACAGGCGAGATATGAAAGTTGAGACAAGCTGTGGAAGTACAGGCGAGATAATGAAGTTGATTTTGTAGGATTTGTTTTCTTGAAACCGTACTCAGTAAAATTCCAGCTATTTGGCGGCGGTCTGTAAATAATCGAGTCTTGACCAGACAATCCAGTGATTGACAGCAAGAGCATCGATCTACGCAATTGGGCACCGATGACATGTCAGCGAGCCTGATCACCGGATCCCGTTAGTTGCCTCTTACGACAAGCATGGGTTACTGAAGGTTCATTCCAACCCGGATCTTTACGGGTTGTGTAAAATCAATTCAGTTGGAGAGATCTGAATGTCGTGAAGAAATGTAAGTGAGGTTTGAGTTCAGTGAACTATGGAAGTTCAGGTAAGTTGAGAACGTTCATTTGAGATACCTGTACAATACGTGTCTCCTACTTATACATAAATCATTCAAAGCTTGGGGGAGTTAATGTATTGTAAAGGAGTCCTTTCATGTGAAAGGAGTTTTCGCGCTACTGAAGATGTTTTTACTGAACAAAATTATTTTCGACCAGAAATGAATAATTAATCTAGCCCTTCTCAGGTTTAGTTACAAATGATGTTATGGTTGGTCTATTCTCATTGTCTTGGTGATGTGACAAGACAAGTGCTTCGGTACATCTGATTGTGTATTGTTTATCGGCCTTGAACGTTTCGTGTTGAGGGGCTTGGCCAGTTTCCTGGTGGGTTTTACCAGTGTAAAACAATAAACACAAAGCAGTACTAATACCCTGTTTTGAGTTTAATCGAAATATCACTCATCTTAAAGTGAAAGGGAAGCCGCGTGCATAAAGCGTTGGCTCATAGCTGTGAAAATCCGAGTTCGACCCCTCACATTTGTATAATGTGTCAAGCCCATTTCTGGAATATAATGAAAAGAGGCGTAAACAAATGCACACTTGGCTTGTACTTGGTCCTACTTGATATACCGATATTACTGACAACTTTTCGGCGGTCGGTCAAGATGTGCGAATTCCATAAACGAGAGTGGGATAACGGTACATGCTAAATATATACAGTCAAAACATAGGGAGGCGGTGGGGTAGCCTAGTGGTTAAAGCGTTCGCTCGTCCCTCCGAATAACCGGGTTCGATTCCCCACATGGGTACAATGTGTGAAGCCCATTTCTGGTGTCCCCCGCCGTGATATTGCTGGAATATTCAAATGCGGCGTAAAACCATACTCACTAATTCAAACCATACACCTGCCAATATTTAAGCAAACAAACTCCTACTGGCCACTGGATGACCTCTCACATCGGCATGAGTCGTACAGCACTGTAGCGGGTTGATGGGCGGATGGGTAGCCTAGTGACTGACGTGTGGCGGTGGGTCTGTGGGGCGGTGCGGTGGGTCTGTGGGGGTGGGGCGGTGCAGTGGGTCTGTGGGCGGTGGGGCGGTGGCTCGTCACGCCGAAGTCCCGGGTTTGATTCCCCACATGGATACAATATGTGAACTCATTTTTGTTATACCCCACCGTGATATTGCTGGAAGTTTACTAAAATCGGCGTAAAATCATACTCACTCACATAGCGATTGGTTTAAACCTTTTGGAGAGGGATTTTATTATTTGTTTGTTTATTGTAAACAGGCCTGGCTTGCTATCGGCCAATGTCCGGCGTCTGCTGCCCAGCGTCCACCTGTGTCGACGAAGCCTACGCCAAACATCAACACGAATATTGGTCCAATTGCTTTGCCAACCCTAACTGTGCTATTCCCCCATAAACGATAACCTTTGTACTGGGAAATATATCGTATGAAGTTGTGAGTGCTGCGTTGAGAAATTCATATTATATAAGTTTGGATCAATACCTCATAACTGTGTATAACTCTTCAGTGTAAGTGTCAGTGGATGTTGGTTGGTTAATAGGTTGGTTTGTTGTTTAAGGCCGCACTTAACGAATTTCCAGCTATAGTACATGGTCTGTAAATAATCGAATGTAGACCGGACAATCCAGCAACTGGAAACCTATGACAGGTGTCAACCGAGTCAGCGAGTCTGACCACCCTGTCCCGTTAGTCGCCTCGTACGACAAGCATGGGCTGCTGAAGATCAATTCTAGCACGGATCTTCACGGGTGGATGCTTGTGATAGACCCATCAGGGTGGAGACTGCACGGTAGTAATGATGATGCAGGGTGGGGGTATGGGTAAGCGTAGTCATGGTACTGGAGGGAAACATGGCGCTGTTGTGGTGTAGCGAGGATTTGATGGGGTACGGGTTCTGTGGGTCTGAGTAAGGTAGAGTTCTTGTCATAGTGTAACGGGGGTATGAATGAGGTAGGGGTGTTTTGGTAGTTCATACTATATCATAGGATATTTATATAGCGCACATATCCACGTAACTACTGACCAGCAAAAGAAACGCAATTCAAGAAATGAAAACAATTGTGTTAAAGTATCAAATCCAAACTCATGCTGAAAAAGTATAATTTTCATGAATTCTGAGTTTTACTGCTGGTCAGTATACATAGTCAAGGCGCTGGTATTTTCCCCTCGATCATTGGATGTCAATCTCAAGGGCACATCGTATTATCAGGGGCGGTGGGGTAGCCTAGTGGTTAAGGCGTATCCGTCACACCGAAGATCCGGGTTCGATTCCCCACATGGATACAATGTGTGAAGCCCATTTCTGGTGATATTGCTGGAATATTGCTTAAAACGGCGTAAAACTAATACTCACTCACTCACTCATTATTGATAAAAGCGGCATAGATCTACACGTACTAACGTAAAACGTATATTTTTTCCAATATTTCGCAATATAATCAAAATGTCATTTTCTCCTGAAACAGAGATACTGCTAGATTTTTACATAAATAATAAAATAAACTGACACAAAACAAACAATTGCACAGCGGCGACTGAAAAACTACCAGACTACCAGTTACACCTTATCTAGTGGTGTCAATAGGTTCAAATCAATTGTCTATCAATGGTCGATGGATGATCGATAAATATTCATGATACACTAGATATGAGCCGAATAAGTAAATCGTTATCTGTCCGATGTCTTAAGCAAGACGTTAACTGAAGTGTTAGTTAAACACAGCATTGATCTCTATTTTGCCAGTGACCGACGGAATATTTAATGAGAAATACACTATCACCAAAAGAAACGTTACCCTCCTTCCTTTATGACGGAGGTACCTATCTTCAGCTGGCGCTGTGATGCTTGGACGTCCACTTCTTGGTCTGTATACCGTGACCCCAGTCTGTCTGAAGCCCTGAATAAGTCTTATAACCGAGATACGGTGGCATCCGAGGGCGTTGGCAACCTCATTTTATTTCGACCCATCTGCACCATCCCAATGGCTCTTTCTTTCTCTTCAGCTGTTAATCGTGGCATATTTCTTGTACTTGTGTATCATATCATGTATTTTAGGCTCTCTTCGTACCCTATAGAATCATTCTACACGTGAAATAGATGCAAATACTGCTTGAATATTGCTGCGTTTTGGCGATTGATATTGCTATGTGTAAACTGAAAATAGAAAAATGTTACTTTGCAAGCAAAAATGTTAACAAAGATAATTTTAGATGTTCCTGAACATTTTTTTCACAATATCAAAGACACGTTTTACTTGTTTTCACTAATGCAGAAAATGTTTCAAAAGGCTGAAATCATAGCAATGATTATTTTACAATTTTACACACTCTACAAGAGTTGTTTCTCGATTTAATAGTTGAAAAGTGGGGACTTTAAATAGTTTATCATTGTCCCAAAGCAGAATTTTATTTCAACCTTTCTTTTGGACATCAAAATAACTGTTATTGGTTTATTTCGACATGGAAAAATAGGACATTTTAACTCTTCTGGAAAAGAGGCATTTCACCTAAATATGAAATGCATTTGAGAAATGTTTTTCGTGATTTGCATAAAGCTGTGATGTTAAACCTTTATGTAAACTAAAACCTTCTAACATATCTTTGATAGTTTTTCAGTAATTCATAAAGGTAGGAGGGTAACGTTTCTTTTGACGTTTAGTGTATGTTTCACCGACAGAGGTAATCTTCAGCAACGGCGACGAGGATGAAATGTTTTGGAATCAAAGACTTTTCACTAATATCTAGACTGATACTTAAACAAATCGTAGAGAAATTTTAATTTTCATTAGGCATTTTACGTTAAACTTTGAACCTGAATTGGTTGCTTCCCGATAACTATTAGAAAAGATTTGTTTTGAACAATTGACCTTAGACATATGCATAACAGGCCCGTAACTCATAACTAAGCAGAGTGAATGAGTTTAATTTACGCCGCCTTTTTGCAAAATTCCAGCAACATTACGGCGGTGGACACCAGAAATTTATCTTCACACATTCCACCGAACTCGGGTCTTTGGCGTGACGAGCGAACGCTTTAACTATTTGTCTACCCAAACGCCCCACAGTTGCGGAGTGTTACAAGAGGACTAACACATGCACTCATGTGTAATTACTGGAACCAAAAGGTGCATCGTCCACAAGAACAGCAGGACCAACAACCAACTTAACCTCTCTACTAAGCTGCAGAGGTAACATGCCTACGCTTGAAGCCATCTGTCCATCCATGCCCCAACACTATATCTAAAGAACTGCATCAGGCAAGCACATGACTACTTAGGATCATCACACAACAGACTAGAAGTCACAAAGTTCACGTCCAGAACGCACTGGACCACAAACAGAAGGATGGAAACCCTGTCACCACCAATCTACGACAAGACCCAAAAGTTATCCGAGAGAAAAGGCTCACATGTCCACCAAAAGACCAAACGAACACAAGTGCGTAGGTTCCAAGTGCTGAAATCAGAAAGCCACTACAAACGGCAAACTCAGTCCAGAAAGACTTTGCATTAATACCAACGCCCACCAAGAGGAAAACAGATGAATTCATCACTGTAATAGAAAAGCGACTCCAACAAACAGCGCCGAATGACAAGCATCTCAGGCAAGAAACCCGCCAAGACACATCCCAGCTTCACCCACAATGAGACAAGAGCCATAACAGAATTAAAGCACGATGAGACCATCACCATCACAAAGTGTTATATCGGCAAAGCTGATGTCATCCTTGACACGGAGGAATTCATGCAACTGGTTAACAAATCCGTGGAAGACCACAAGATCCTCAAGAAAGACAACACAAGAAAAAAAAACCCCAAGAACTCCACAGCAATAGAAAATTAAATGATACCATATTCAATAATTATCATATAAACTCGCAGCTCATTTACGCCAAAGCCATCGTCAAAATCCATAAAGATCCAGCCAAAGTCAGATTACGTGTTTGCTCTGTGCACTGACTCACCATTTTCATGGATTTTCAAAGGAAGCAAATGCGGATCGGGACCTTCCCCTCAAATCGTAAGAACCAAACGCATTACCTCAAGTCCCTTCGACAACTACCGTTATCGTAATGTTTAAAAAAAACTCCAAAAAACCCCACCACAATCTCCCTCATACCATGCTTTTGGCACTTCCAATAAGCTAGAAGTAAAACCATATATTCAACCGGTAAAACAATGTTCTAAATGTCTAAAATATCACCACACCACCACATACTGAAATCAGCTGTACGTAAATGCAAAAATGCGCACAACCAATCTGCACCTCCCCCCTGCGCCTCTGGTGCATATTCTGCAAAGTCACATCACATATATCTCTCACAAACAACTGTCCACGCAGACACACACTCACACAACAAGCAACGGACACATAAACACTGACACAGCTAAAATCGAAACAGAAAAACAGGCACCGCTCAACTCCACCTCTACCCCCCACCTTCACCCACACACAATACAAACAAAACAACAAAAACAACAACAAAAAATTAAAAAAAGGAAAAAAGAAGAAGCAAAAACAAACACATCATACACCCAATTACAAACAAATAGCATCGTACATTGCAAAACCAAAAAACACAAACCACAGGGCATTTTCACCCGACTTAACCTGTATGTGAGATTCCCTCCGATAATTCACCCACAAGCACTACACCCAACCCACCAACATCCACAGATCTCTGGCCACAGAATTCTCCAGCACCAACAACACGGTAACCTCAACACGCAAAACATCCCATAACAAACAACCTAAATTTCGCCCCAAACCGATTCAATACAAATACACTGCAAACACCCCGCAAGGTATCTCACCAATCCTCGCGGGTCATAAACCACATCCCCGAAGAAATTCAAGAAGATGTTGCATCAAACACCACAAAACACGAAACATCTGACATACCACTCTGCCTTACAAAAGAAACCTCATACCTGAACACAACCTAAATAAGTTAACACGAAACACCAAAACATCCGCATACTGCATATAATCACACATAACCAACTAGTGCCAACATACCAGCCCCCCACCCCCCAAAAAAAATCAATAAAACAAATCAACAACAAACAACAACAATACAACCAAACCAAACGCCAACCCACTTAGCTTTAAAACAACCACATGAAAACCAAAACAAGACAAAAAAAACAGACGAAACAAACACCAAGCAAACCAGCTAGCTACCCCCGATACCACTTCTGTCAAATGTCCAAATACAAAATGCATACAAATATAATTTTGCAACACTAACACCCCCTTCCGGTTGCCATATCTTTAAAAAAATCCTCTTTCGATCAAAGACTGATTCGCCTGGCGGGTCCGTGTGCTATATACGTACTATGTCGGAAAGCGCACGATAAATTTCAAATCACCATCATCATGACTCAGCATTCACCTGATAAAGGCGCAAGAATTAGCTTTTAAACGTCGTACCAAGAA